GTGTATACCAAGTCATAGCCTTCAAGGTCAAAATCCATTCCCCTTACATTATTCATCCAAGTTTCAGAAATAGCAATTATATTAAAAGAATGTGTAAGACTACTAAGATAATGTTTTATACTCTGAAAGTTTGTGTATAAACTTCTGCTATTAAAGTGAATGAATGATAATTTGTTTTCAGTCTTAACATTGCTGTTAAACTGCTCATCCGTGTAATACTTGCAGTTATTTTCAGAGTTCTTAAAAAAGTTTTTTTCAGGGTCAAAGTCATCGTCCGATTCATGATAATGTTGTTCAGTATCTCCAGTTGTGTTCAGTTCCAGATCCAATCCCTCAAAAACTATTAACCTCTGTAGCAAATCACTTGCCTCATTTCGTACGTGGGTCATACTTGTTGTTAGTTCCAACGCTCATCTGCCATCGCAGATATCAATATACCTGCGTGTTTCTTCATACAGCTGAGGGTCCAGCGACCCCTTCATACTCTCCTTGTCTCGGAATACTGGTCCTCAGCGTGATGGTCATAGGTCCTGGCTGATTTCCGGGTTGCAAGTGAGAGCAGACGTCTTTACTGCACAAGGTTTTGCTATTTTACTGTAGAACTCAAGGTGTGTATCTTACCCCAAAAGCAGGTTCAGACAATTTGTTTTTCCGAACTCCTGGTAATGAAACAAATCTGAAGCAGTAAGAGATGGAACTTCTACCATAGATACCTATGTTCTTTTCTTTCCTCAGGCCCAGCCAGTATGGAGATAAAATACTATCAAAAATGTTACAAATGCGTGTTTAACATTTTGTCTGTAACAAGCGATTTGTGTGTGTGTGTGTGTGTGTGTGTGTGTGTCATGCTGTTCACAAATGCATGCTGTACAAACTGCACATAAAACGCATTTGTAAAATGTGTTTTATGTGCAGTATTTACATAATGCTATTCCAAATGGACATTACATAAAATAAACAAAAATATCTAATACATAACACGTTTTAACAGAGATCATTCCAGTTGCCTGCAGTTTGTGGTGCATGTTCTAAATTTTTATATATTTAGAATTTAGAAGTTATGAAGCTAAAGTAAATGTTCCGCCCTGCGGAGTTTATAGTTTTTCAGTAGGGCATATTTTAGTGACGCACATATTCCTCCCGACGGAGTTTGTTGTTGTTTTTCAGTGGGACATGTTTTAGTGATACACACCGCTAGTAAGTTTAGCATGAAAACAGTCACAGGTTGTGCATTGTGTAAATACTTTTGTTTGGGAAACAGGTTTGGAAACTCAGATGTCCGAGTTTTCCACGTGTCCTTAAACGCACCGTGCATTCGTGGATCGTGGACTTTTGAGAGTGCGGAAAAACACTCTCAAAAATCCGTGTGTGCGCGGAAGGTGATTCGTGTGTGTTAGACGATCCACGCATGCGCAGGTAACAATGTGGTACGTACTTTCTAAAGAACTGCACACGAAAAATCGATTTTAAGCATTTGTAAAATGCGTTTTATGTGCAGTTTGTACAGCATGCATTTGTGAACAGCATGACACACACACGCAAATGGCTTTATACGTGCAGATTGCGCAGCACGCATTTGTGATCCCCATGACACACACACACACAAATCGCTTGTTACAGACAAAACGTTAAACACGCATTTGTAACATTTTTGATAGTATTTTATCTCCATAATCCAGTCACCATCTACATGGCTTCCAAATCCATTTGATGGCAAAGCCTCGGTCTTTGGTTCTGATCTTCACAGATGTCAGCATACCTTTTAAGAGTACAGATAATATACAGTAATAGGGACAATGAAAATAATTAGTCAAGCATTTTAAACTTCATGCATGCTGCCTATAGTATGCTGTACATGTGGCTCAGTAGATGACCATTTACAGTAAATACCAAAGCTGGACCACCTCACTCCCTGAAGATCATAATAGACTGCCTGGAAGCCATGTTGATTTTGGCACACGAAGCTGAACACTGCCCCCACTGAAACAATAGAATTTCCTGGTTGTGCCTTCAGCAAAGTGTTTTTAAATAGGAAAAAATGTAGTGTAGCTTGTCCAGAAATGTAGAGGGTGACAAATTAAAGGAAAAACCTGAATAAATGAGTGCCCCCATCCACAGGGTACCATGGGTCACTGACTGTTTAGACAAGTATGAAAATGATGTGAATCTAATGACACTGCCTTCAGTCACCAGACCTCAACCCAGTTGAACACCTATGGGAGATGGTGTCTCCACCACCATCGTCATCACAACACCAACTGAGAGAATATCTTTTGGAGGAATGGAGATCATCCCTCCAGTACAGTTCTGAGATTTGGAGAGTCAATGCCAAGGTGCACTGAAGCTGTTCTGGTGACACCTTATGTTGGGTTTTCCTTTCATTTGTCATCTGTTTTTGCCACTAATACACAGTGACAGGATTTTTTTAATATCACAACAAACTGCTGAAGATGAATAACCTGATCTCCATAGTGCCACTTTTTGCACAAGTGAATTTTGAACTGAACAGAAGTTTTGAATTAAGAATGTATCCTTGTGCATGTATGTATGTATCCTTATCCTAGTGAATCCTAGTGACTTCTTACGGCTAGCAACAGTGAATGAACTTAAGAGAAGCCATCAGCCTCAGTGATCGTATTGCACTGACAAGTTTAAGACATGGATGCACACATTTAGGGTGAGACAGTATCACTTTACAAGTTTACGCCTCTTACATATTTGGTATCCTCTAGTCTCTCTGGGCTGTGGATAACTGATAGAAGAGCTAAAGCTTCAACCTAGAGCCATTATTCCTTCCATTCTGGCACCCAACAGTACAGCAAGATGACATTTTTGGTACGTGATGTAGCCCGATTCGTATTTTCCTTTGCTTTGCCTCCAGCTAACACCATGATGAAATCATGGTGTGTGTAAAAAGGTCTATAGCAGGTTCTTTGAGTCCAACAGAAACATTCATTCATTTATTTACTTATTTATTTTTTGTGTACATCTGCTGATTGTCTGTGGTGCTTATTTATTATAAATTTCAACTATTGTAATGTATGGAATAAAAAGTCACTACAATCATGTGTGAGCCTGTATTCTTGGTGTATCTGATCTAAAAAACAAAGTTCTTCCTTTTGTAGTCATTCTGATTGTTGCTTTAAATAGATGCAGTGCTTCCCTGAGCAAACCACAGCTATAAGAGGAGGTTACCTTCTACTTCAGAATCAGCTTTACTGGCTAAGTTTGTCGAACACACAGGGAATTTGACTCTGGTACAGTGGCTCGTAATGCATTATAAAATTGCAATAAGAAAAATTATGTGCACTCAAACAGGAAGAAAAAAGAAATATGGCAAAAGAGGAAGACAATTTCCTGTAACAAGTGGGCATTGTAGTTTCAAATAAAAGTAATTCAAACTGTAGTAAATCTGGAATTTGGAAGAGGCTATTTTCAGCAATGGACTCAAACATTTTGTGCTCTAGTGAGTATTTGAGGCAGCAGGACAGTGTATGCCAACATGAATTAAACTACAGTTAATGGTAGGAAGAACATCAACATCATTTGAAATGAGATCACATTTGCCATCTAGCCTACTGAACACCCACTATTCAACATCTTTTAAGCTATGGGCTATTTAGACTTGTTTTAGGATAGAATATGATTCTTAGCCTGACATTTTGTGCTGTGCTAAGTATATAGATATAGCCTACTGTAATCAGACGTGCCAAATAAGAAACGTGATCTTCAACATGAGTTCATGGTTATTTTATATTTTATTGTGTCATCCTGAAACCATACAACCATATAGTGTAGTTGAACAGGACTGTGCATGGCGAATCAAATCCCAAACAATCCATGAACCAATAAATGACACGTCTTGACTGCACTTCATTTTATTGACCACTAGATGTCCTACTCGAGCACTGTGTCATTGAAGCCTCGAGTAATGAACCGTTTTTGTGAATACTGTGTCGAAGCTTCAACAAAGCCTCGATCAGCCATCACTAGTTGCAGTTTACAAAGCACTTGTATTTCACTCCAGTCGCACATCCTTCTTCTAAAGAGCCACTACCTGGACCTTGCTGCACTTTCAGCCAAGTTGGTGTTTTTCTGTCTCAGACTCCACCCATTTATACCTAAATCACCTAACAGAGGAAAAAAAAGGGAGTTGCCAACAAACCCCCTACAACCAGTCTCCACTGAGCAGACTTTAACTCTCCAGCCAGACCTCTCTGCCTCCATGGCTAATTCTGTGTATTTCAGTTTTTTCTTCTCATAAGCTCTTTCTACGCCATCCTCCGATGGAACTGAAGGTTCTACAAAATACACAATATGTGTTTCTGACCAGACACAAGGTAGAATAGAATAGAATAACATTTTTAATTAAATATAGTAATACTATAGGCTACCTCTGTGCTGTTCATATTGCCCCTCCTGTACTAACTGGCTCTTCCACAGCAGCAGCACATTGCTCTCCTACATCTCTTAAATGAGATTATGTTTAGAAAATAACAGATACAATAAACAAACTAAATTTGTGTCTTAGGTCACAAAATAGTGGAAAGCTAAGCAAACAATAAAACACCCCAATTAATAATATAAATAAAATCATTAACAAATCCAAACAAAATGCTTTACACAAACTTATTTGGCAACACTTTAAAATTAATCCAAATTCTCAAAATGATTAACCAACACAAATCCCCTTTAGGGATGAGGCTCAGGAGGTACAGCATTTGTCCACTGACCAGAAAGTCAGTAGTTCAGTTCCCGTTCTTTCTAGTCCACATGTTTAAGTGTCCTTGGGCAAGATACTGAACCCCAAGTTGCTCCCAATGGACAGCGCCGCCATCGATGCCTGAGTTGGCGCCTCATATGGCTGCCTCGGTTCTGTACTGGAGACAAACTCCTTATGTGCAGCATACTTGGCCAATAAAAGTGATTATCATTTAGCACAAACTGCTAACCCAAACTATGCTTAGACCATTAACCATTAATTGTGGGATTTAAACTCCCTATATTTCTAACAAAAAATGTGGGCCCACACACACACTTCACACTAATAAAATGGTTGCTGGCCTGTTTGTAAAACAATTTTGTTCATTCAGAGCAAAAGACAAGACAAGACCACAAAAAAAACCCACTTACAGTTCAGTTCAGGTGGTGCAAGAGGTGTGGAATGGAGAACAGAAGAACAGAAACAGCAGTGGATGCTGGAATCTTATGGAACCTTCGTCAGATGACCCACAGAGCTCCCAGTCACCGCAGGGCCCGTTTGACCTTGAACCCCATGTCGTTTGAAAGTCCAGGTCACTGGTTCATATATTTCCACTTGATAAACACTTCTGACAACCTATTGATTGCCAATAGTACTATTACAACCAATTAGCAACATACAGATATTAGTTAGCTTTGTTAACTCTGCTGCATAGCTGTTAATGGTTATACAATGTCACAAAAAGTGCCAAACGTTCGACTAGGGAACACAAGGAAATGTGCATACTGGTGTGATAGTGTCTCTTCTCACATTCTTTGACCTTCAGGCTCTAGTTCCATGCTCATTTTTCTTCTCTCTGTCTGCTCTCTTCCCCACCTCCTCATCTCTACTCCCAATCACAACCCTGTGTCTGACTGACAAGTGAATAACAAATAAAAGCAGGCTTAATAAATTTCAAATAAAGGTGTAGTCTGTATTTTCCTTTTATTTTAGTTAAAAGTATAGTCGACGACATATATGTATAAATATACAGTACTTGAGCTCTCTGCTTTGTTTACATTCTGCTAGCTCGTCACGCTCAGATCTGGGGTTTTGCCAGTGAAAAAATGTGCCACCCAGTGCAGTGGTGTGTTTCACTAATGGGTCTTTAATCCTTTTTGAACAACAATGGAGGTCTATGGCATAGACAAATAAGCAATGAAGGACTAAGACTGACAAACATTAACTGTGAGTAGAGGCAATTCATTGTCGGTTTTAGTATCTATATGGGGAGTGTTGAAAATTCTTTTAATATAGAAAATGACCAGCCTTATCCTTTAATTCCTTCTGTATATTAGGAAGTGGTTTAATCTCCGCCTTCTTTATCCCACCAGGGAAAAAGAAATTTCACCAATTTTCCCCTATTGGTAAATGAACAGTCGTTTATTTAGCTGCTTTAAATCCTACCCATACATACCAGGATTTGCATTACATTAGGGAAGTAAAGATGTAATATTGGATTTTGCTGTATGCAAAGCAGCAAACTTGTTAGGAAAAAATAAAGACAAATCAAAGCTGTTTTGTTTTTTACAGATCCCAGTGCATGTATCCTAGTAATGCACTTTGTTGGCTGTGGGTTTTGGGATGCACAGATCCAGGAATCGTTAAAACTACTTGCATGGCTGGATTCACTAGCAAACATTACAAACCAGCACCATACACATAATGATCTCTTATAGGTATTTACTGATCTTTTTTGGGTTTATTAACATTATTGTCCTTCCCCCTCCAAAATCAAAATCTGTTGGCCAGGTTGTGACTTAGAGAATTTCCCATTTCTGCATCAAACCCTGGCTGACAGATCTGTTTGGTGAGTAAGATTGATTATGTAACATTATGACTATAAACAAGACCAAAATAAAAACTGATCTTAGTCATTTAAAAAAAAAAAACTGACAGTACCAAACATTTTCTTTACCTTCAGGAGAAAGCTAACAAAGGCTACGCCCATCACATAGTACTAGCACAGTTTGCTGAAGGTATTGCACATTTAGTTTAAAAACAAAACAAAACAAAAAAAATACACATAATTCTCTTACTTCTAGGTGAAGTGTACATAATGTACAAAACTAGAAGTGTTGAAACCAACAAATAGTACACTTTCAAATAAATAAATAATGGAATCTGTTATTCACACATCTTCGATAGCTAATTCTGCAGGCGACTAAGTATATGCAAGAAATGGCAGAAATTCAGCCTGAGGTAGTTTATCAAAGCCGACGTCAATCAGAATGACATTGTTTGAACAGATGGAGTAGGCTAATAAAACAACAACAACAAAAAAAAAACAACCTAAGAAGAAGAAAAAAGAATTCCAATGAAAGCTCCAAATTTTGGACTACAAAATTTAAGAGCACATTAAATAAAGTGTATACTCTTGATTTTTCTTCTTTAGTTACCATGACAAATGGGCTAATATGACAAATGAATATGACTTTTTTTCTCCCTGCTATTGCTTCCATTTTACAAATGTGACATAGTTTAAGTCTGAGCTTTTTACTCATTGTTTATTAAAAATACTACTGCACATGTACTAACTGGTGATTTACTTTTTGTTGCTGGATTCTACACTAACTGAATGCAGGTTGAATTTAGTTGTGTACTGTGCTAATCAGTCTCTGCAGCTGCTAACGCTTTACTTGCTAGCATATTCTTGATGCTTGAAAAATTACCAAAACATTCCCTTAAAGTTCTAGTGGCGGAAAAGATAGCAGAGGCAGTTACACCACCTGTTCTTAAGTTCAAACTTAGACATGCTATAACAAAATTAAAAGAGGTTGCACCACACAAACTAGTTCTTATGTAGAGATTAGTTACTAAATATTTAGGGCACCGCCTTTCGCCCGATGCCGGCTGGGTTTGGCTCCAGCTCCCCCCGTGACCCTGTTCGGGACTGAGCGGTATAGAAAATGAGATGAGATATTTAGAGCAAATAACTGCCAAAATGACAAATTTAGCTTCCTAATATTTTATGTTAGCTGCTGTGTAGCTGTTTAACCGCCAAAGCTAACATCAGCTTGCTAATATACTAACTATAATAGCTGTGTAGATAGCGGACAAAACTAATGTGTAGCTAAGTGACAAAGCTAACATTTGTTGACTGATGTATTACTTCTTTAGACTTAAAATGCAATGTGGTCAACGCTGACCAGACACTTAAAACTGCTGTTTAATATGTAAACTGGGAAGTTGTTTACATTTTAAAATAAATTCCACAAAAATGACACAATATACCTCAAATTACTCAACACTATGCTAATAAAGTTAGACTGAATGACCAAACAGAAGTGGTTAAGTTAGCATTATGGCATATTTCCCATTCATTCAATATGGATAATTAACAGTAAAACATGCATATTACTTCATATATGCATATTTAAATTAAGTAATAATTTCATAAAGAACTGGAAATCTAATTCAAATGTTTGGGCAATAAATTCATTAAAACCTATTTTGCTACAGTGTCTTTTAGTTTACACAGTTGATTGATTTTACTTTGACACTGATACAGATCATTTTTGGTAACCAATTTATCCACAGTTAAGGATTTTACTAAGAAACCTTCTTTAAGTTTTAATGGTGCAACCTCATTTAGTATCTCCCTCATCTCAAACTAGCTAGTTATTACTAAGAACTTAGGAGAAACGCACACATTCATAACTTTACACGTGAAAAATCTGCCAAAAAAATTGGTTCGTCTCTGCCTCTCAGAAATGTCTTTGTAACTAAAGCACGAATCTGACTTTTAAAAGGAAACCTTCTCCAAAAACCATTTGCAAAATATTGACAAGAATTTACTTGCTTAACTTCATCCAGCTGAACTTTAGAAAGTAAACCTTTGTTCTTTCTTCTCTTAAATCAGTACTCAAAGAAAAGCCAAAAACTGATATTTTTGCTGCTTTCACAGCAAAGAAACATTCCTTTTTACTTTGATGAAAGACCTTGATAAACCTGCCTGTTCTTCTGAAATGCCTCAAACACATGCTTAAGCATCTCGCATACATCATCACCTTCATACCCTGCAAGACACCACACTCTCCCGCTCAAGGGCCAAAATCAAAACAAGTAGAAAAATATACAATACATTTGTGAGAACTACAACCCCATCAGACATCACTGGTATAGACACCACTGCTGCTTTACAGATACCATAAAAACCTACACATATGAATACACTTCCTCCGACATACTTAGGAATGAATGACAAACAGGCACTTTCCTTTCTATTCAAAATTAAAATCTCTCAAACCAGCACTATTATTGCATAATGTGTTTTGTTAGACTCCACTTGCTTGTGCTTCTGTTTAACATGCCAAGTTTTAGGTTATTTTATTCACGTGTGATACGCAAAGATTGGCCAACATTCAAACAGATCACTTTCCGTTTCCAAATTCACAAAAGTACTGTACATTACTAGTAACACATCGTAGTAGTAGGAAGCCGACATCTTTTCAAACTGTTCCATCGGGCTGCAGATGCTAATCCCTCCAAGACACCAAATATCAACACGTTCACATGCATTCTCAAGATCACAATTCCCTACCTGACTGAAGCACATTCTACTTAAACCATCACCAATTTTACAGCCTCACACAACTAAGTCTGGAAAAACCTGACCAAGTACGACAAAAAAACCATTCTGACGTCCTGAACTGTTAACGACGCCTCACTGTCAAAGCAAGCCGGTGGTCAACACAGAAGAGCTCAGTGCACCCAGTCTTCTCAAGCAAATATCATCATTCCAGTTCCATAATGTCACGCAGTCTGTTGCAGGTACTTTAAAGCACTTGAAAATACAGATGCTTCTCAAAAAGTTCCAAGTTTTTTTTGTGAGAGCCAGCTATGCCTATCAATCTCATAGTTTAAATGTAAAGGGCACCATGAAATTTTGACTGAAAAGGAAGTGAAGGATGAGTAAAGTATAAAGCTTTCATTAAATTGAAAAATTTCAATGTAGGAACTAGTAGTGACTTTTTTTTAACAAAGAAATCTAAATTACCAAATATGTCGTATGCAACTCAAACTAAGTGGGATAAAGCAGGTTAGGGGTGTACTGAGAACATTTCTTGAATTATGTTTCATTGACTAACTGCAAACTGGCATCGAAGATCTGTACAAACTCAATCTAAATTTATATGGAAAGTTGTAAAAGCAGTAGTTTGCAGATTAAAACATGACTTTCAACAGAAAAATAGATCACATTAAAACATTTTAGCGATATTTCCTTAAATTCTCATTGTTGGTTAATATAAACCATAGCATAGTGAAATCATACAAATTCTCTTTTCATCATCTTAGGTTTCTGAAAATTAAGAAATGCCACAATAAATTACAGCTGGAACTCAAATGAAAAGAAATCCTAATTTAAAAAAACCTATAACTGTCAAAGAAAAAGATCTGTCCTTTCAGAAATATTTCTCAAACAGCTAGCTGGCTAACTGCTACACTACTGAAGACAAGCACAGAGAAGAGGTGGAAGGAGGCAGATGTAGGGGACAAGTCCAGGAGCCAGTGTCGGGCTGGTGGTCTTTAAGGTGCCCAAAGGGGACACTAGCCTGCCTAGCATCAGGACCAGGAAGTGTAGTTGATAGTCATCTGCAGCAGCCCAGGGGGCCGCTGGCCATAGCAGCAGCAGCGGTGGCAGCGACAGCGACTGTGCTGGCCGTCTCCAGGCTGTTGTCGGTGTCGGTTAGTGTCGGGTCAGTGGACATGGAGGTGACATCATTGGTGGAGGAGGATGTAGAGGGGTGATGCTGGTGGTGCTGCTGGGGGCTGCTGCTCATTGTTTCACCTGTGCTATGAGAAAACAGGAAAAGGCCTGTGGTCAGCAATTGAAACGGGGCTAAAATGTTTTCAAATTGAAGTGTTAGTCCACTTTCAATGAGTCCTGTGTGAATCCATTTGGCTACTGAATTCACTAAATGAAGGATCACGTAGTTCACAACCACTTGAGTGTTAATGCTGTGAAAACATTTTCAACTGACAGAACCAGCCTCATCTGTGCACTGGGCAATGATTTTAATGCCTGTGCCATCAATGACTCCAACATGTACCATGTACAGGGGAATCAGCGATTTGCATACTGCAGCTGGTTTTTCCATTGATGAAAACTCAATGATGTGGAAATGAATGAATCAGTGCATTTTCAGTGGAGCTGTAAGAGTGATCAAGGTCTCATTTATTACAGCCAAAACTGTCATTTTGACAGACTCAAATCGCCAGTGCTGCTGCACCTGCTTTATGAATAAGAAGTGTAAAGCTGCAGTGACTGAAGACAACGTGTTCTTCTTTTTCTTCGAGCAATTACATCTTGCACATCCGTCACAAAAAGTATTCCGTTTTAGGCCAAACTGTATCTTTTAATGAGCTCAATGTCATTAAGTCCAAGTAAAAACACCTCTACTCCTGTGGATTCTGTGTGCCTGTGTCTGACTGAACGGCACCTCCTCACCAGTCAGGACACCTCTGGAGCTTTTTCCTACATTTTGGTGGAGATAGGAGTGATTTCCTAAGACCAGAACAATCATAAAGTGCTCTTACTGCTACTGCTAATCGTAGGGCTAGAAATGTGCTTTCTTTGTTCCAGGATACCTCGCACGTCAAGGACGCGATTTCTCTGACCAACCGCTAGTCTGCAGTGTTTACACGTCGCTGTTCAGCATTGCTTCTGTTCACCTGGAACCTCGACAGAGGTGATACCAAAAAACAGTACCAGGTACTATCCCCAATATTTGACTGATGGAAACACAAATAAGGCAAGTCAAGATGAGCTGATACCAGGTGGCAGAAAAGAGGCTTAAGGTGGACATGAAATAAGTGACTGACTAGAAAAATCCTTGTGCTAATTCAGCCACTCTCCTGCCCACATACAGTGTAACTCGATCAGAAGGTAAATACGAGTAGGTAAATGAGCACAAGAGTTGAAAACACCTTTGTCTCAACAGAAAAACTATTAAATAACCATATGCAATCCAGAACTACAACAGTGCACTGTTGGATTTTTAACAATGCAGGGTCTGACACAGTTTATAGACATTGTACATGGCAATCTTGGTCAACCTCTCATCTCCAAGAGGAACAAGCTCAGTTGACCATGCAGTCTCACATGTATACACTCTAAGAAAGGCATAATAAACTCCACTAACCTATGGATGCTGGCTGTCCCCTGATGACGCCATTCTTTGTCCTCTCTTCCCAGTCCAATACCTCTTTGTATATCAACTCTGAAACAAATAATACAATATTATCACATGCAGTTAAAAGGTGAAGCAGAGGAAGGCAATGAAAGATGAGTCCATACAGTTGTAAACATGTAAAATCTGGTTTTATTAACACTTTTACAAAATTAGGCTGCAAAGAGAGGGCAGATATAACAGAAATTCTGGTGTGTGGTCACACAAGTGATAAATTCACATTTAGTTTAATCTTTTAAAAAGCACCAATATAGGCTTTTCTGGAGTAAAGCTGTGTTTACCAAATATGTGTGAGCTAAAGATTCAATTTGGTGTTAATTCAATTTAAGAGAATTGTTCATCCCCATTTTCTATCCTCTTATGATATGCAGGTAAGTTTTCGTCCTGCCTGAAGTATGGCCAGTGTATTACACCAGATTTTCCAGTTATCCCTGCTGAATTTAGCCCTGACTCAGTTGCACGAAATCAGGTTAAGTTAAGATGAATCGAGTTGCTATGGAGATTTGTTCTTTGCAGCTGGCCTGCTCCAGACCAGACTAACAGCCAGGTTTGATTGATCCTGGTGCCTTATATGTTCTTTTAGCTCTGATCAGAAACCAATATCACAATATTTCACAGATTAACTGTAAAATGTGATATTCATTTTTACTGACTGTGTTTATGAAGACTGCTGCCGATATTACTTTTAGAGGTTTGACGACTTTTATTGCAGTGACTAAGGTGATTAGAGATCTGTGATCGACCTCGTAGTCTGTTGAAGAAAGTCGTAAATGTGCATTCATCTGAATTACTTAGACCAGGCTTGACCTAGCTGCACCTCCTCAATCTGGTTTATTATCTTGGATTTCTTAATCCTGCTTTTGTGCAATACGCTCCAGGTGTGAATCTGCTGCTGTCATTTGTGTCAACACAGAGTAGGAGGAGACATATAATGCCACTTCCACTCCACCCAATCCCTATCCTTAGGTCTGTCAAACACGGCTATTGTTTTCTATTTTCCATTGCATGTTACACTTGAGTAACAATAATTTAAAGTAACCCCACATTTCTGTTACGCTGATTATTCTCTGTAATAATCTAGTCTCATTTTTATTTTGTTTATGAAATGATAAATGTTGTATCTTACAGGATGTACATCTTTAAAAAAAATGCAGATCCTTATATTTGCCTGGAAAATTCCATCAAACATCTAAAATCAAGTCTTGGCTCCCTGAACATGCAGGTCACCTGTAACAATTCTGAGCTCTCCTTTGTTTGTCCAATCGTTTCTTCAGTTTCCAGTTTTCTTCCAGTTGAAGAACACAAACCAAATTAAATCCTTTATATCTTTTACCTATCTTGAAGAGATATTATTTTTCTTCACAGCACACTAACAAATTAATATGAAAATAGCACAGATCAATACTTTATATTACAATGAAAAAACGCACTGCAAAAAGTTAAGTATTTATGACAGCTTATCAAAGAGGAGAGGAGAAACAGGATCTGCTACCTTTCCACTCCTCCACTGTGTGCTCTCTCTCATCCAGCTGCTTGTCTGTGATCACGGGTGGTGGCTGGAAAAAGACACACACACTCATATCTTCTACAGTTCAGTCAATGATGGTCATTCTAAACATCATAGTAATATACTTTAAGACAAAATGCAGCTCACATGCCACCTGAGAATATACATTGTATTTGTGTATCCAACAACATTTGACTTTTTGATTGGCACAAGATCTTACCCAAGCCATACTGACTTTTAATGTGGATTACACTCACACAACTTATAGGCCACCCTACTGTTTATGCTTCTCTTTTCATTCACTCACTAAATTTTAGCTCCGTGTCTCACACATGAATACTGATACTGACAACTTGTAACCTTTAACTTACAAAGACAAGTTTAAATCTGCATGTTTTTATTCCAACACAATGTCCCAAACTATAGAGATGACGTCAGCTCAAAGTAAAAGACTACAGACTCGGGTAGCACAAGACAAAAAAACTACTGCATTAAATCTTCCTCACATTAAACCCACTTAAAGGTCACACTTTGTGCTTTGATGTGCATAAACTGTTCCAGACTGCTACATTTAAATGTATAGCTCTAACAATCAGTGTCAATCTAATCTCATTTGTTCATTATTTTCTCAATTAATCATTTGCTTATAAAATGTCAGAATAAGGTGAAAAATAGCCATCACAAAATCCCAAAGCCCTGTCATAGACTAAAGGAAACCAGAAAACATTTCAGAAGGTGGAACCAGAAAATTTAGGCAGACTTTCTTAAAAGAATGACTCAAAACAGTTAATCATCATCAAAACACTTGACAATTTTCTGTTGATCAACTAATTATTTGACTAATTGTTGCCACTCTAGATCAAACCACACCCACACACTCATGACGATACAGATCAACTCAAACCGTTCATAAATAGTAAATGAGGATTTTTTTTTGGCAAAGTGTGGTGTTTCTTATTTAGTCATGAATATTTAATGTTATTGAAAAAAAAAAACTCAACAACTTTTAATTAACTATTGATTAGTGTGTACTTACCGCCTCCACTTCAGTCGGGTCATACCACACGTTGATATAAGGATGCTGGAGAGCCTCGTCCACTGAGATACGTTTTGATGCGTCAATTACCAGCATCTTTGAGAGGAGGTCTCGAGCTTGGCTCGCTGGAAAACAAGGTACCAATGGTTGTTTAGCTTCCAACTAAACAGATTTTCATTCTGCAATTTGTTCCAGTTTGGTAGGTCTGGCTCCATTAATTTGATGTGACCATTCAGAAGGCAACTCAAACATTCAGTTTCTGAATCAGACCAAAAGCATTAAGTTTGTTATTTGGTTTATCCAGGACACCCACATTGATTATCGTGTGTTTTTTGTCTGAAAGTTTCTCTAGTGTGGGCTATCAGAGCTTTCAGGGCTCTGAACACATAATACATGCAGTTTAACCAGAGTACTTCAGGAGAATACAAAACTGTCCCATATCCCTGTGTAAATTAATGAGGACAGAACGTCTTAATGTAGTCTTTTGTTCAAAATCCAAGTTGTAAAATTGAAGCATGTTATGGCATAAAATGGCTCACTGGTTGCCTCAATATTTCTGGCACCTTCAGGCAGCAACAAATTTTACAAATGGTTCCTCTTCAAGCTGGACAATCACTGCACCTGCTGTGGAGGACCTATGCACCAAAATGGTAGTAATTCTTCCTAGGCACTAAATTTGAAACCTCACATCAATTTTCTTGTGCTTCAATCAGCCTTTACAACATTTTCACATCACAGTCATCAGCGAAGACAACAGCATCTTTACCTTTCAGTTTGTTGTGTTCAGAGTCTGCAGGAAACAGGACGTCAGGGAAGAGCTTTTCGAAGCTGTAGCCGGCGTACCGTGGCCGGTTCTCCACATAGGTTCGCACTGACTGGTTGAGCTTCATCAGGAACTCTTGAGATGGTGTCCCCAACTGCTCGATCACCTTATTCCACTGGTCGATATCTTAATTTTACAGTATTAAGAAAAGCACTAGCCTAGGCTTGGATAAAAGGAACAGGCAATCCGTTGGGATGGGTCATATTGTGGAATATTATTAACTGCTAAATAATAAAAGCGAGCATTCTGGAGTTGGTATGTCTTGAACTGAATTGCTCTGGCCATGGTCCGAAAACACTTGTGGAACTACAACTGAGAAAAGGAAGAAAATGTTAAATCTGATTATGGGCAAGGGATGTAAAAAAAAAAAAAAAAAGGCACAGCTGATACTGTAGCTACCTTGGCTATAAAGTGGTAATTAAAGGATGCAGACTGAGCACTTTCCTTTGGTAGAAAAGCAGTGACATGGATCTAAATTAACTTCCAGAATGTTTAGTGAAAGGCTGGTACAGCTTACTAAGAAGGAATGGCTAAAAATAATTCAAATTTTATCCATACACCAGTCCTGCAGGAAGCAATGTGATACACCGTGTTCATTCATTCATTCATTCATTCATTCATTTTCTACCGCTTGGAGCCAATCCCGGCCGGCAATCGGGCGAAGGCGGGGTACACCCTGGACAGGTCACCAATCCATCGCAGGATACTCTGTGTTGCAAAACACATTTCAAAAATCTGTACTATACAGTGCTTCATGATAGGTGAGGCAGGTGATGCTCGCCTTAAACAACCCAGATGCACAAAATATGTATACAACTTTTTTTTTCCTCGAGGACAAAAATACACATAAATAAAAATGTAACATACACAGATCTACTTGGAATTAACATACAGAAAGTCTTGTTCATATCACTGTTCATCCTAACAAGAAAGAATAACAAGGAGGAGAAGCCTAGTTTAGTTAAAAAAAAAAAACAACCAAGCCAATGAGAGCTTAGTAGACACGGTTATCTTCAGTGAACATAAAGCTAACCAGAATTGCTATCGCAGTTTCCGTCTCCACTGAAAATAACGTTGGCAGATCAAATGTGTCATTTGGGGTTGACTGGAAGACAAAATAACTACAGTCCACAACAGAAAGAGCTAATATAAACACATAAAGCCTACAGGGCACAGGCCCAGGGGACCAAAGGCCCAGGGGTCCCTAGACCAGACAATCATGAAGGAACTGTTATCCTTTCTGTTATAGCCACAAAATGAGAAAAAGCAGATGTGACAGCTACAAAGCAATACTAAACCACTAAAAAAAGAATAAAAGAGTGGAAAGAGAAAGAAACCAACTGGAAAGACAGTAAAGACTACAAAAAATATGCAAAACAACAACAAAAACAAAAAAGAAATGCAAAACAAGCAAAAATGGGCACAAAACTACTAAAAATAGATGCAAGTAGACACAAACTGACTACAAAATGCTTGCTCAGTCTGTGAGTCTTGCTTGTAGAAGTGTAGGGGTGAGAGGTAGGGGCCTTTTCCATGTCTGTGCCCAGGGGACCACTGTCATGCATGTGTATACAGGCTCACTGGCACAGCTGGGACACTAAAACTGAACAGCCATCACTTACATTATTAATTATTCCTGTGCTCCTCAATTCAAAATGTTTCACTTAAGCTACAGGGCAATGTGGCAGCAGCTCGAGCTACTCTTCTCATCATCCACTGGAATAAAGGACACCTGGCCTCCCATTGTGGGGAAAGATATGAATAAGATGTCACACAGAGAATGGGATGGGACAGCATCTGGGGGTTTGGATGGAGGTTCAACTTAAGGATACGATCAGTGCCTGGAAACAACACACTACCCCGGACCATTTCAGCCATGATGCAGCCAACAGACCAGACATCAACTGAAAAATGAAATGACAACCACCAAATTAGCATGCAGGACTGAGAAACCAACTAAAATAAACACAAATCCAAAGAACAAAAGGGTAAAAAAAAGAAATCATGACATACAAGCCAGGTGATGTGTGTGATACATGACAAAAATGAAGTCCATGCAGTTGAGTGCACCCACAAACCTGGGTCAGTGTCCCACCTGACTGAGGAAAATCATTCTTCTTTTGGCTAGCATTAGCTTTACATGCTGCATATTTCTATATCCAAAAAATGATGTTTATATATGATTTCAACTTCATATGCACAGAATCAGAAGCTTAGAAAGGTGTGACACTGACTTTCTAGGTCTTCTAAAAATGACTTTTTGTATGTATTTTAACCCCCTCATTCTAGGTCTTCTAAAAATGACTTTTTGCAGAAATGTATTTTAACCCCCTCGCTATCCTTGCTGCAATACACGCAATACGTGATCAATTTGACCATAATTGATTATATTTGACCTTTTTTTGGTCACACCAACATGCTACATTGTTACAAGTGCAATTAAAAGCCTCATAATTATTTTCCACCAATTTATTCATTATTTTATTCTGGATGAAGGCCCAGCAATAATCCAGCTCCATGGCAGCTGCTACTACATCTATGAAGACATATGGAAAACAGTTTTAAATGAAAACTGAGAATGGCCGTGCTTGTAATTAAATTTTTTTATGCCATTATCTCAAGATCACAAGTTAATAATTTTATCTACAGATAACACATTTTCTCATGATAATTAGTTTGAGAAAACAAAAGGACAATTTCTCAGCTTTGTCATTTTAGGATAGTTTTTTTTTTTTTTGGAAAACTATTTAGGATTTTTCATGAAGCACTGGCACTACTGCTAAGGTGAGTAAGGAAGGAATCGTGTGTGTTTGCGTGTCTGCAGGATGAGCAAGTCTGTGGCTGCAAGTCAAGGTGTGCAAGAAAGAGAATTTCTATTGTTGCTCACAGGATATGACCACCGTGTGATCCATTTGATGAAAAAATAATAGTCTATGTGCTTTCCCAACAAATGTCAAACACTGCTGCAAGCAGCTCAAGGATACAATCCCTTCCAGGAAAAAGGATTTTGTGGCGAACCATTTCTGCCATAATGCAGCCCACAGCCCAAATATCCACTACATATGCGCAGCATAAAAAGGAGGGAGAAGAGAATAAGCAAAGAAAATGCAACAAGTCAGCATTAAAAATTAGGTTCAGTGTCTTTGGTCAAAAGAACTAGAGATGATAGAGCATTAGTATTTACAAGATTCTTCTGAGTTTTGTTGTGATTGAATATAGTATTTTTTGGTAACCACCTCAGAATTTTTTTTTACACTCCAAGTACTTTTTACATCCAGAAATTGAGATGTGCTTAACCAGCATATATGATCCTGGCTTTATTCATACCTCATCATATTCTGAAACCCCATTCATGGCTCTGTTCCAAATAATAGTTAAACAGTTTGAGAAATACACTCATTAACTTGGAGAGGCTGATGGAGAGAGTGATACGACTCTTCTGTCTGTAAGAAACTAGAGTGAGAAGGTGGTTAACTTAGCCTAGCCTAAAGACTGCAGGGAAAAGGCAGCCTGGCTCTGTCTGAACTAAAATCTGTAAAATCCCCCAAATAGTCCAGCACTAAACCCCACTATAAAACCATAACTTGTTTGTATACATACACTGCTTTTCCACAGATTAAACAAACTATATAAAACATTAACTAGTGAAGTGTAGACGTAGTGGTATTTTTGGACTGAGCCAGGCTAGCTGTTTCCTCTTGCTAGTGTTTAAGCTAAGCTAAGACAACCATCTCCTGCCTCTAGTTAATATCTAATAGTCACATATGACTATTAGATATCAATACTGTATCAATCTTCCCATCTAACACTCAGTGATTAAGCACATTTACCAAAATGTTGAACTACCGCTTTAAGACCTTTTTGCAGAAACTATGACAACATTCCAAGCAGTAGCACCAAGTGAAACTGCTGATGCATGCATAAGTGCCTGTATTAACACATGCTAAAGCACTGCTGGGAACTGGAGTTCTCAGACAGGAAGTCTTCCACAAAGCATTGATGCTTGACATGCCAACTTCCTCCAAGTGTGACCTTTACAGGAACAGGCGGAGTGTGTGTGCGCGTGTGTGCGAGAGAGAGAGAGAGAGAGTGTGTGTGTGTGCATGTTTGAAAGGTTCTGTAGAGGGAAGTCTTCCACAAAGCATTGATGCTTGACATGCCAACTTCCTCCAAGTGTGACCTTTACAGGAACAGCCGGAGTGTGTGTGCGCGTGTGTGCGAGAGAAAGAGAGAGTGTGTGTTTGCATGTTTGAAAGGTTCTGTAGAGGATTGGCAACTGAGAAATCTCCTTAGGTCAAACATTTGCTGGTTGCTTGATCATAAATTTACTTGTTTTTATTCTCAGTTTCATATTATAAAATGAATCCTGTGTGAGTTTGGGTCCAGACTATGTTAAATTAAACAATCCTGAACATATATTTAGCTTATGCACAACATCCTACAACATCTCAGCTTTTGAGGAAGCGGCACCAATGTTAGTTGCTGTTTACTTCATACAGCTTACTGTCTGTCAGGATTTTGTCACTGCTTTCCAAAAATGATTTCCATCAGCTGTTTTACAGAACTGGATAAATCAGTGTGATTAATCCACAGAACTGAAAGGTCTGGGAGCAGACTTTGTGTTTGGTTTTATTCAATCAATGGACGGTGAGAGGGATCCTCGCAACCTCCTGCTGGCCTTCCAGATCGCAAACAACATCATCCGCCGAGGTTACAATCTAGGTGAGCACATACAGTCAGGAACGGATCTAGAAAATGTAAGACAGGGCGGCCAGGCTGGGGCACTGACTCAGAGAGGGGTGGCACATTTGAACTTCATGTAAAAAGTAAATGAAAACTGTAGTTCTATAAAATAATAAACCATACATTATTAAGAATCAAATGGTTTATTTTGTGCAATAGTGAGACACACACACACACACGCTTTATTTAGCTAACTTTGGCTCTGCTCATTATTTACTCCCGACAGGGGACATATCGCTGCTGCACAGTGGTTCCCCCCACTGAGGTTAATCATGCCAAGTACTCCAGAACAACACGAGAAGAAATGAATGACAATGTTATACTGCATGCATGATATAAAAAATTGACAAACATCAAATATAAAGCACCAGAAAAATGTTAGTTAAGATAATTTATCATTGTTTTTCATTTCTCATTCGTTAAAACTGACAAGTGTCACATTTTGACTCTAGCTTGGGAGGCCAATCAAACTCTGGGGGTGGCCAGTGCCACCCCTGGTGCCACCCCCTGTCTCTGCCCATGTCTGTAGAGAAAGTGTTTCCCCTCTTTTGAAACTAATGTTGACAAACTAATCTCCCATCATCTTTCCTGTTCTTCACATTTCCGACCCATAAGGCATCCTCTCAAACAAGGCTCACTGCCTATGGCTATAATCTACATATGGCTATTTCCCATTTGAACTACTATATAACAACTACTTTGCCAGCCACAGGGTTGCCTAATTGGTATTCAGCATAATTTACATAGCAACAATTTCACTGGAGAATTATGCAAACAAACTCTTAGCAAAGTGCCCAGAACTGTCAAAGAAACCATCAGGAATGCTTTAGGCGTGTAAATCCTTATAATCATAATCACAGCCATTATCTTCACTCCCTGACAAAAGAGACCTGTCACACGCTCTACTGCGCTTGGCTGCCTTGATGAGTAGGAAACCCTATTCTAAAATCAAAGCTTTGCACTGCAGAGTATCTAAAGGGGACTGGAGAGCTCTCATCATAGAAACAATTATTACAAAATCGACTGAGCTGACTGTTTGGCGATCCTTGACTCATGTCGTATCTGGTCACCTTCTGAAAGCTTTGTGTGATGAGCCCTGTCGATGCTTAACTCCACCTGTGGCTCAATTACTCCTGGTTGGCAGAGCAAGAGGAGCCCCGCTAGTCCACTGCTGCTTCTTTCACTGATGGTGACTGACAGAGCCCCGTCAGTTTCTGCTAGCGACTCTGCATGTGTGCATGCAAGAGGGATCCTTTGTATATTGCCGCTGGTGCTTCAACGTATGTCTGTGTGCCATCCTGTCTGTTTTTTTTCCAAGGTGACTATGAGCACCTAAGTATGTGCATGTGTGTCTTACTGCAACTTGTACATCATCACTGCTGCGTAACAGCTTGTTACTGTTTGGCTGGTGATATCTTGTGATTTCATATGACAGTATAAAATGAGATCCTGCCAGCTCCAAATATTTTAAAGAAATAGTTCGACATTTTGAGGAAATATACTTGTTACTTTGAAGACGTCATATTGGTCTGTGAGAAATTAAGAGTGGACAAAATATAGTAAATTAACTAGTCATTTAAATAATATTTACTTGCTGCCAGAGAATAAAAATGGCCAGGAGCAGTTACTTCTTGGGACTCTATGAAGACTCTGTCCCAACCAAAATAAACTGTCCAATCTTCATCTAACTCTCATCAAGAAAGCAAATAAGCATACTTCCCCATATGTCAATCAATCCCTTTCACTCCATTTGTAATATTTTCCTGGCTAATAGCTGCCACCCATATTAGGACATTTTGCTGAATGCTAAGATAAGATGGTTGCAGTGTCGCCATTTGCCGATTCCTCTAACAGCGAATATTCACAGATTATCACCAATCAATATCCAGAACCCAAAAATTGCCATTTGGTACAGCGCTAATGCAGTGGCAAGAAAAAGTATGTGAATCCCTTTGGAATGTTTTCTTTGAGATCTAAGTATACACATGCAAAGTGCATAAGATAATAACACATAAACAATTATAACTTTGGCAGCAATAACCTCAAAAAAGGGCTTCCTGTAGCTGTAGATCAGACCTGCACCAGCCCTGCTTCAGCTCACACTATTCTTAGAATATCTGTTGTGAGCTGCTCTCCCAAGGTCATCCTACAGCATCCCTATTGGGCTGGACTCTGACCAGGCCGCTCCAAAATGTGGATTTTCTTTGTTGGAAGTCATTCTGTAGTAGATTTACTTCAAATTGTAGGGTCACTGTTGTGCTGTGTGCAGCAAAGCAGCCACAAATCATGATGGTCTCTCCACCTCAGGGACAATGTTTCCATGATAGTGTGAAGTCCCCTTTTTACACCATGTTTAGTGTGGGTGTTCTTCACAGACAGTTACCCTTAGTTTCATCAGTCCACAAGACATTTTCATTTACAAAAGATTTTATGTTTTGTGCTGTTTAATATAGCTAGATGTAAATACCAGGAAATGTCTTTAGTGGTAAAGCAAACACAAATGAATTGGCCTTGCCATTGCAATACCTTTGGAGGGGACTGTATATATGTAAAATAGTGTGCCTCACCCTGTGAATGATACCAGCTGAGTGCAGGTGTTTGATTCCACACAGCATCTGGTAGAGCAGGTAGGACAGTCTCTCGTGATCCAGCTCCATCTGGATCACCTGGCACAGGTTGGCATCCATCAGCTCCATCACTAGATACCTATGGGGAAACCACAGAGGTAAAATAATCATACAGAGAGATGCTGGACTATTTGGGACTTACATTCCAAGTAAAATAATGACTGGTTAATGTAGCATATTTTATGACCTATGTTACTCAAACACGTATTTATGCCATGTAATGTGATTTATGAGTGAGTTATCTGAAAAATCTATGACTTATTAGATAAACATAGTAGATATCAAAATAATGACAAAATAAACTAAATCAACAGGCATTAGCTATATTACCTACAAGAAAAAAATGAATCCACAACTACATTTTGGACTGTTATTTCCTCACCCACACAGCACTTCTTTTGCGAGGGATTTAGGAAATGACAATAAGAGTTTGCCTGTTCATAACACTTTGCTAAAATTATGCTTTCTGGCTGCTCTTAGATCAGCGGTCCTTTCAAACCTCCTACATTGTTAAGACCAATTTTTTACAAATTCTGTGAGAGTGCAGCTTTACATTGTCAAAAGTAAGGCAATATCTGTATATGATTCATATTTTAATACCATACGTAGTAGATGACATAACACATTCAAGTAATAATCTGTTCAGAATGTCCATCCATCAGCTATGTTGATAATACTGTTTGGTGTGTAGATTGGTGAGGAAAAAAAATTAACTGAATCCATTTTAAAATGAGTCTGAAAACCTTCTGTATCGATTGTATGTGCAACTTAGAGTCTCCAGTCAATCTAACCTGCAGGTCTCTGGACTGGGATGAAGCCCGAGTACCCGGAGAAAACCCAACCAGACACGGGGCCCCGGTTGGCAGCCAGGTTCGGACCCAGAACCTTCTTAATGTAAGGTGGCGGTGCTAAACACTGCTCTCAAACGCATGTAGTGTGTACTGTATATGCTAAAATGTATATATTTTAAATTTTGTACAATACACTGTTGTGCGTGCTGCAGTACAAATATGCATTGAAGGGTACGAACACACAAGCAAAGGGAGTACTCGTCTTCATCATCTAACAGTGTGTTTCACCCTGCAACCCTCTGGCTATGATTTATCCAGTTTCTTTTTTAGCTCCAATCAGGCAGCACTGCAAACACACATGCAAACTCGCAGACAGACACACACACACACACACACACACACAGCTTCTAGATGATGGTATTAATCATGTCTGTTCCTGTCGTACTCTGTGAAAGCCATCACTTCCCCCCACAGCTCAGTGTAGTATTAATAATGCCATATGTATGTACAATTTAACCCCCTTATGTGATCTACAGGCAGTTTCCACTCTCATCACAACTCAGAAATGTATGCAGGACCAACAGTCGCTCTTATGAAAATGCAGTCTGCAGAAACAGACATATTTGGTGAGATTAGGGAATCTGCACTCTACCAGAACCACCAAAGACTTTGTTAGTCTACTGTGTTATGAAGTCGTTTGTTATGTGATGACAGGGTATTCTTAAGCCAACCTTTATATGATCATTTAATTGTGACATTAATCAGCCTCATAGCTATTTTGTGCCAAAATATTTATACCTGATAATCCACTAACTGAATCTAGTTTGTAAAATGGGTCAAGCATTTAACACGTCTAATTAGTGTGATTATATTTTTGGTAATTATGCATATTCCTTGAGTTATGAAGGAAAGCTAATCAACCAGAGATCAAGTGAAGCTGCACAACCCCCTAAACGTCAGAAAGGATTTTCTAAGCCCCTGAACATGCATATCCTGTGCTGACTTTACACAGTGAGCAGATGCTACCCAGCTCAGTTATACTCACACATCCTGGAATTCTTCCAGTGTCTTCTGTGGTGTGAATACGTTTAATAAGCCGATTATCTGTCAAGGAAAGGGCACAGTTATTACTATGCAAGTCTGGAGGAGAAATGAATGATTGTACTGAACGACAACAGCACCAACTCTGAACCAGCAGGGTCGACTGTTCATCTGAAAGGCTCAGACTGCAGCACTCATTGAGCAGTACTGAATAACAACAGGGCATTCTCCAATTAAAAACACGGTACAGCAGAAAAGCAGATTCATGTTTTCAAAATCACCAGTCAATCAAATATAATGAGTGTTTTTTATTCCCGTGTTTCAATGACTCAACAGAAGAGAGTTGCAAGACACAACAGTGTCTGTACAGTGCAGCCTGAATCAGCACAATCAAACACAATGATCAAAACACAGCTTTCCATGCACAAGCTCTTTTCCATCCAACAGTCTTCAGTTACTTCCACAGGGAATTCACAGCTCCTGCTTGTTCATTACATTTTGACCGACTTAAACTTCAGCACAATCACAAACGTGTTTAAAGCCAGATTTATCCAGGAGAAATGCATCCCATTTATTTGACAGTAAAGGTGTCCACAGCTAAAAGTCTTTAACAGTAAAGGTGATACACAGGAACATAAAGAAAACAGGAAAGACGAGCTCTTACGTTCTTGTGGTTGACACATTTCATGAGCACTAGTTCTCTGTAGGCCCGTTTTGCGTGAGTTTGATTCTGAAAGGGCCGGCTGAGTTTCTTGATGGCGACGTTCCTCTCCAAGTTGTGATCATATGCTGAACTGGGGTGAAAAACGTAGCAACAAGTCAGTACAGTACAGTATGGTAGAGTACAACAACAACCCTAGGGACATTTAACCATTTGCACACTTTGCAGTATTAAACAGATAAAACCACAGGATGTACTCTTTAGCTTAACCTAGCTTTTTAGCTACAAATCTAACATGGGTTTGTGGGTTTCTTTCTGTCTTGTCTCTGGCTGCTGTCTGGCTGTTAGTTGATGTGGCATCAGCAGCCTTTGATAGTGTAAAATGGTGATGGCTAGCAGTTTATTGGTCACTTTGGAGCAGAACTCCACAACAAACTGATCATCATACACATGCTATGGCTTAAGACTAACATGATGGCAAACACATCCACCTGCAACATTAGCTTCTGAAGTCATGTTTCTGATTCTCTGGGTATTTAGCTCTGCTTCCACCACCTCGTGGAGTGGAGATATCTGATTCTTTAACTGCTGAAATGTTCACCAGACAGTCACAAACTTATGGTGGTTTTCTACTGTATGAGCGCGGGTCAGCCCTGCCAAGTCGAGCCGTGAGTGGCGGAGCTGCTCCCGAGTCAGCATGGATGTGTTTCTACAGCACCATAAAACGCATCTTGATCACATGGGGACAGTGCGAGCCACCCACCCAGCCCTGCGTAGAAGCAGAGCTGGCTGAGCCCAAGTCAGTACAATTACCCCCTGCTGTTAGGAACAGATGGAAAGGGAGGCCAACCCACGTCCGCTTAGATTAGGGAATCTGCACTCTACCAGAACCACCAAAGACTTTGTTAGTCTACTGTGTTATGAAGTCGTTTGTTATGTGATGACAGGGTATTCTTAAGCCAACCTTTATATGATCATTTAATTGTGACATTAATCAGCCTCATAGCTATTTTGTGCCAAAATATTTATACCTGATAATCCACTAACTGAATCTAGTTTGTAAAATGGGTCAAGCATTTAACACGTCTAATTAGTGTGATTATATTTTTGGTAATTATGCATATTCCTTGAGTTATGAAGGAAAGCTAATCAACCAGAGATCAAGTGAAGCTGCACAACCCCCTAAACGTCAGAAAGGATTTTCTAAGCCCCTGAACATGCATATCCTGTGCTGACTTTACACAGTGAGCAGATGCTACCCAGCTCAGTTATACTCACACATCCTGGAATTCTTCCAGTGTCTTCTGTGGTGTGAATACGTTTAATAAGCCGATTATCTGTCAAGGAAAGGGCACAGTTATTACTATGCAAGTCTGGAGGAGAAATGAATGATTGTACTGAACGACAACAGCACCAACTCTGAACCAGCAGGGTCGACTGTTCATCTGAAAGGCTCAGACTGCAGCACTCATTCAGCAGTACTGAATAACAACAGGGCATTCTCCAATTAAAAACACTGAATAAAAAACAGGGTACAGCAGAAAAGCACTGTTGTAATCCATGAGATTCATGTTTTCAAAATCACCAGTCAATCAAATATAATGAGTGTTTTTTATTCCCGTGTTTCAATGACTCAACAGAAGAGAGTTGCAAGACACAACAGTGTCTGTACAGTGCAGCCTGAATCAGCACAATCAAACACAATGATCAAAACACAGCTTTCCATGCACAAGCTCTTTTCCATCCAACAGTCTTCAGTTACTTCCACAGGGAATTCACAGCTCCTGCTTGTTCATTACATTTTGACCGACTTAAACTTCAGCACAATCACAAACGTGTTTAAAGCCAGATGTATCCAGGAGAAATGCATCCCATTTATTTGACAGTAAAGGTGTCCACAGCTAAAAGTCTTTAACAGTAAAGGTGATACACAGGAACATAAAGAAAACAGGAAAGACGAGCTCTTACGTTCTTGTGGTTGACACATTTCATGAGCACTAGTTCTCTGTAGGCCCGTTTTGCGTGAGTTTGATTCTGAAAGGGCCGGCTGAGTTTCTTGATGGCGACGTTCCTCTCCAAGTTGTGATCATATGCTGAACTGGGGTGAAAAACGTAGCAACAAGTCAGTACAGTACAGTATGGTAGAGTACAACAACAACCCTAGGGACATTTAACCATTTGCACACTTTGCAGTATTAAACAGATAAAACCACAGGATGTACTCTTTAGCTTAACCTAGCTTTTTAGCTACAAATCTAACATGGGTTTGTGGGTTTCTTTCTGTCTTGTCTCTGGCTGCTGTCTGGCTGTTAGTTGATGTGGCATCAGCAGCCTTTGATAGTGTAAAATGGTGATGGCTAGCAGTTTATTGGTCACTTTGGAGCAGAACTCCACAACAAACTGATCATCATACACATGCTATGGCTTAAGACTAACATGATGGCAAACACATCCACCTGCAACATTAGCTTCTGAAGTCATGTTTCTGATTCTCTGGGTATTTAGCTCTGCTTCCACCACCTCGTGGAGTGGAGATACAACAGGGCATTCTCCAATTAAAAACACGGTACAGCAGAAAAGCAGATTCATGTTTTCAAAATCACCAGTCAATCAAATATAATGAGTGTTTTTTTATTCCCGTGTTTCAATGACTCAACAGAAGAGAGTTGCAAGACACAACAGTGTCTGTACAGTGCAGCCTGAATCAGCACAATCAAACACAATGATCAAAACACAGCTTTCCATGCACAAGCTCTTTTCCATCCAACAGTCTTCAGTTACTTCCACAGGGAATTCACAGCTCCTGCTTGTTCATTACATTTTGACCGACTTAAACTTCAGCACAATCACAAACGTGTTTAAAGCCAGATTTATCCAGGAGAAATGCATCCCATTTATTTGACAGTAAAGGTGTCCACAGCTAAAAATCTTTAACAGTAAAGGTGATACACAGGAACATAAAGAAAACAGGAAAGACGAGCTCTTACGTTCTTGTGGTTGACACATTTCATGAGCACTAGTTCTCTGTAGGCCCGTTTTGCGTGAGTTTGATTCTGAAAGGGCCGGCTGAGTTTCTTGATGGCGACGTTCCTCTCCAAGTTGTGATCATATGCTGAACTGGGGTGAAAAACGTAGCAACAAGTCAGTACAGTACAGTATGGTAGAGTACAACAACAACCCTAGGGACATTTAACCATTTGCACACTTTGCAGTATTAAACAGATAAAACCACAGGATGTACTCTTTAGCTTAACCTAGCTTTTTAGCTACAAATCTAACATGGGTTTGTGGGTTTCTTTCTGTCTTGTCTCTGGCTGCTGTCTGGCTGTTAGTTGATGTGGCATCAGCAGCCTTTGATAGTGTAAAATGGTGATGGCTAGCAGTTTATTGGTCACTTTGGAGCAGAACTCCACAACAAACTGATCATCATACACATGGGCGGGGACCCCCCCTCCAAGGCCGAGCCGTGAGTGGCGGAGCTGCTCCCGAGTCAGCATGGATGTGTTTCTACAGCACCATAAAACGCATCTTGATCACATGGGGACAGTGCGAGCCACCCACCCAGCCCTGCGTAGAAGCAGAGCTGGCTGAGCCCAAGTCAGTACAATTACCCCCTGCTGTTAGGAACAGATGGAAAGGGAGGCCAACCCACGTCCGCTTGGCTCAGCTCGATTAAAGCGGGCTGACCCATGCTGATGGAAAAAACACCATTTTTCTGTCTGTTAATTGTTACAGGAAAGGCAGTGTGTGGTGGGTTTTCAAAGCCTTTCACGATTAAAAAAAAACAAAACAACAAAAACACTAATTATAGCAGGAAGATTGATACAGAAGAGTAAAGTTTGGACTATAGAGATTTGTAGATTGACAACTAAATATGCCTACTTGTTCCCCGTACAGTACCATTTAAAGTAGGGTATAGATCCCTTTAATATGTCTGGTTGGATCAAACCATTGTGGGCAAATGGTGACTGTTTTATGGCAGTTAATGATTTTCAGAACACTTGTATCAATATGATGAATTACAACGAGGCAAAAAAAGACACAAAGTGAGCTTACAAAATGTTTTTAAACATAGTGATCAAACTGCTCATTCCTTGACGCAAGTTTGACAAAATATTATCTCATAGTTGACATACTAGCTTTTTTCAGGCCCCGTGTTTGCTTAGTAGTCAAGGTGATGGATAAGCTGTCTTCACATTACCTAATAATTTATGTTTCACACATCCATGGGGCAGCACAGAATTTGTTAATGCATGAACTGCCTTCCCTACAAGTGTGCTGACTGAGTGTGCACAAGAAAAGTAAACTGAACTCTCATTTCACCCCAGTGTTGTTTTAAACATGCTATATGAATACATTTGATCAGATTTTGATTTGATCATGTTTTCCAGTGCATGTATGGAACCTGTCAGTGTACTCATGGCCCTGCAGTACGTACAGTACAGAACAGAAGGGCGCCTAGTATCTGCATGCCACTCCACAGCTGTGGAGTCCATCCTAGACTATGGTCAAGGCTTAAGTGACCTACATGACAACTGAACAAACTAGGTCTTGATGAAGAAAGTTAAATGCTCCAGAGGAAAAAAAAACACTAATAAATGAATTACTTCTGAAATATTAGGATTTTTTTTTCTTTGACTCACCAAACAATTCCCTGCGCACCAGATCCAATTGGTCTGAGGTTCTGGTAGCGCTTTAAAACCATAAACGTTGAATCGCCCACATCTATACTGTAGTACTCCTTTTCACACTTGTTCCGGTTCATGATGAAGCCTTGGACAGACACTGTGACTAGGCATCCAACTGGAACTCTCCTCTCAAGACCTGCAGAGCGTGAAGAGATTTGATTGTGAAGAGAAACAACCATTTGACCTTGGAATTCACACTTGCCTTCCAGCAGCCAAAACAATCATAGTCAGTGATGAGATTCTGTCAGTTTTGCAGAGATTTATGTAAACTGCTGATTTCTTGTAAGATACCACCGTTCATTATTTAGTCAACAGTTATATGAAGGTGATGATAATGTGTGATATGTTGTCTCCGTTTGCCACAAAGGAATCGCAATCACAGCCTGAGTGACACATCAGGCTGACGTAGCTGTCCACCACAGAAGACTTTTTACACAAAATCTCCTCCCTTTTGTGACAATACATATTTATAAAATGTATCCAAGATTTATCAGCAGATATATCATGGATATACAGGTCCTGCCTGTCAGGAGTCATCCTTAATTGTGTGCGGACCTCATGTAATCAATGTTAAACACCATTAAAAGCTGCTGCATTTACTAACATGTAAACAAATTTTATTTATTGCTTAAATAGAACCAGTCAAGTTACTGAAGGTGATCAACTCCATTACAGTGCCGACAAGCAAATGATATTGAAGTATAAATCTTATCTGATCTCTTGGTTCAACAGTGAAACAGCTCTTTAATATCAGAAACTCAGAGAAGCTGTGTATACACCACACAAAACCACAAGGTCTGAGCGAAGGAGCAAAAGGCAGAGTGGAAGCAGGAAGCTGGATTTTGTGCAGGGTATTAAGGTGACAAAATCATTAGTGAAATGTGGGACATTGTGCTGAGGAGGTCAGCTCTGTGATGATAGCCATACGTTTCACACACCATGACCTGACCTCTGGGTTTTTCTGACCGCTGTGAGCCCACCCCAAACCTTTCAGGATCAGTTAGCCTTTCTTTCTCTTCGCTCTGCTCTCCTCTACATCTTCAGGTTTGTTTCTTATTTTGTAGGGCTGCAATTATGACCACTTGAATTAAATACAAGTCAATATAGAGACCAGTTCTTGTTGAGATCAGACCAGAAGAAAGTACACAAAGGCCAAACTCAAATCCACTAAACAAATCAACTGAGTGTTCTGTAACTGGTTTAAATGTTATTTTAAATGCACAAGAAAAAGTAGTTGAAATCAAGACAGCACCAAGAGTCCAGAAAATAGATCTCTATGATGAACAAATATGTGCCACCTTGCCCGGTTTTTCCTGTGCCTCCTCCTCTCTTATGCTTCTGTTTCATCCTTATCGCTTCTCCTCATCTCATCTCTCCTGACTTCTCTCCTGCCATCATGCCTTTGGCTCTGATCAAAACACCCATCTTCTCTCTCCTGCTGGTTGTCAACCTTCTGCAGCTGAACCAGGTGGTGCAGAGGTACAGGGATGAATAGCAGGTTCACGAAAGAGCCTGACCTCAGTTATTTTACCTGACAGCAAGAGAAACACTGCCAAAAATTTAGCAAAGAGACACAGAACAAAACACAATAAAAAA